CGTTACATTTAGACGATGCGCAGATTCAGCCGAGTATTGCACCAAGTATGACTCAAGTATTTGCTTAAGCAAATTAATCAATGTTATAACAGTCTTGTTTAATTGTGTCTATTAATCAATAAAGAAGTTGGTATTAATTGTGAAAGCAAAATATTGTTGGGAAAAAAGTTTGCTATTCAGTAATTCTTGCTTTTTAGTAAGTGCGAATTAGCTATAATTAAGATTATATGAAATAGATTATTACGGAGCGTGGCAAATTGGGTAGATTAACTGCGACTAGAATCATATTTTCTCTGTAATGAGAATTGGTGACTATGTACTGTAGAATCGTAAGTAGCGCTGTAATTGTGGAGTTAAGTGGACGATTTATTATAGCACTTGCCAAAATTACTGTGTTAACAGATTGTTCGTATTTCTTTTTTCAAATATAGCGCATTTATAGTTATAAGTTACAGTTTAATCGTAGTTTATCTTATGCTAATCTATAGAGGAGGAAGTAATAAAGCGTCAAGACAAAACAAAGTATTAAAAAATTTTTTTCTAACCACACAAAGCAAGTCTATAGTTGTTAATCACAAGTTATTGTTCATAGAGTACAGCGAGCGGAAAGTAGCCAAGTTGTCATAACAATTGTTTCCCCGGCTAAGACGATGACGAATCTGAAAAAAAATTATTCTTGGGCAATTGCGTTACTAATAGCAGTTAGTCTTGAAAATTACAGAATAGTAATTTGTTGTGAGTTATAACAACTGTTTAAAATATTCACAATCAGTATTTTTATCTTTATTAATTGGCTTTTTCAGAAATCTCATAGACAACAAAATAAAATTTACGAATTGCTACTAGTTTCAATTAGATATCGTTCACACTGTATTTATTGAACAAATTTTTGGTTCAACACTAAGCCCTATTTAGAACCATTTTGGTTACTGATAAAATAGTGTATGAGACGTTAGAAAATTAATATTAAATACCTGATATAATATTTTATTCTTGTGAGTATAAATGAAGTCCAACATTTTATGATTGATGCACAACAGTTTTTTTTTTATACAATCAATTTGGTTTAAGTTATGTATGACGACTTGGCAGTAAATAGAAAACCTTTATCGCTACATTATTCATACACTTATGTCTTGTGAAAATGCCAATGTTATCTGCGTTGGTAACACAGAGATTTGCACGACTATTCATTAATGCCAACAAGGCAAGTTTGATAAATTGTCCTGCTTATCTACCAACTGATTCTCGCTAGCAAGTTTATGGCATCAGTTTATTTTTCTTACACAAGCCGATAAATTTGCGTTTGTGATACTTTGTAGTACATATCTCACAAACTTCTAAATGTTTTTCTTACTATTTAGGACTCGAGAAATAACACTGGATGTCCTAATTTTAGTAAACACTGTCTGAATTATGTTCAAGTGTTACTCTAAAAATCTGTGTGTTGGAAATTAAGTAATTTTTGAACAAATTTAAACAGTAATTTATAAAATGCACGTAAAGGGTGATATTATTGTTTGGTATAAGAAATTATTTGACGTTTTATGTATATGGTGTCTAAAAAGGATGTCAATAGTTCACTGTCTGCGTAACTTTGCTTTCTGCCGTACGCTACCCGTCGCAAGGAGTAAGATATTTCCCTTACCAATTGTCTCTGTTAAACAATGACTCGAAAAACTTGAGGTTGAAGTTGGACAACCCCCATACATTCGTATTGCATACGTTAAATTATTTTTTATGTGCTTTAAAATGTTTATAGTTGTACGTTGGGCGCTTTTTTACAGGATAAGAACTAATTTTAGATCTTGCAACACATGACAATCACGTCGCTAACTAGTTTTGATACTTTACAATTACTACATATTGTCTCCTAAAAGTACGGGACACACACACATACATGCATTAGTATTTGTCATCTCCTCAGACTCTTGGTTGAACAAGACCCCCATCTTTGCTATATAAGGTAGACGTAATGGTCATGTCGTACTCAAAATTTTCAACTTGTGTCGGCATTATTTTTCTCTTATCACCGCAAACAACATACATCCCATTAGCTTATTTTTTTTTAGGTTAATTGTTCATTTTTGAATTAAATAACTCTTTACACTTTATCTCTATCTTACCCTATATAGGCTTTTCTAATGGATCAATCACGAACCTCCTCACAAACACAGATTAATTACGGCCACACACGGCCACCACCATCAGTCTACCCTAATCCCCACTCTGGACACGGCTATGACCCTAATCGCATTCAAAACCCGTATACGTCGGATAACCACTTGCAGTATGGTTCTCCATTTCCATACAATGACTATTACAACCGTAACCCACCAAATTCACCACCAAATAGACAACCGCCGCTAAATAATTACAATCACCCACCAAATTCACCGCCAAATAATTATAATCATCCACCACCACCAAACAGACAACCGCCGAATAATTATGGTTACCCACCGAATTCACCACCAAATAAACACTTGCCAAATAATTATAATGACGACCGGAACCCACCAAACTCACCAAATGGTTATAATCACGGCCAAGGTTCTCCATCCAATAATCCAGGATCAAGTTCTCTAGCATTAAATGGGGAATTTTCCAATTCTCCCCAAACAGATCGTGGAAATAATTCCATGTCAGATTCTACGCCTACATCCAACTCAATGCGCGCAAGACATCTTCGTCAAATGGAAGAGTTCAGAAATTCTGGTAATCCTGTATTGGTTTTAATGGGTTCTCTAGGTAGAGATAATCACCCGGAGGTTGCTAAGAAGGCTTGGCTAACCGTAGCCATAATAGTGGGTTGCATTCTTGCTATCATAGGAGTTAGAATTTTGCTTGGAAGTAGAGCACAAGATCGATCTTGTAGCAACGATTGTCGTAATAGTGAAGCGTATTATGACTGCAGAGATGCATGTATTCGCAATAATACAAAGATTGGTGCTATAATCGCGGGCGTTGGAGGCTTCATAATTTTAGTCGCCGGGTTTACATTGAAGAGAGTGACACGCAAAGACAATAATAATAATACTACTGATGAAACTGCACAATCATCATAGAATAGTGAATTTGTTGCTATTACTATTTTCTATATGTAAAACTGTTCATTGTTATTATAAAACGGGTTAATTAGTGGTGTGGTTTAGCATTTTATTTATATCTTTTCGGTCAATGTATTTAATCCCGGTAATGCTCTTGGCTTCTCTTAATTAAAATTTTTGCATCACTACTTATTCTCTGGTGGTCTTAACTACCTGTCTAGGCAAAAGACACTCGTGCCTTGTATTCCAATAATGTTTAATGACGTGTGAATGAGATTAAAATATGTCTACGATTTTATTGTGACTGATTGTTATGCATAACCCCAGCAATTAACAGCTTGTCTCGAGCCTCCTTTGAAAGTAAATCAATGGCTCGTTCGATTATTAACAAGTTGACAACGTTTACCACACGCAGTACAAATAAGCTAATAGTAACGTTATTATGTCTTGCAAATAATTAAGAATTAGTACCTAGCTAATCCACAGAGTTGTGAATTTTGCGATGCATGGCAAATCGCAAGATGAAGACTGCCACAAAAACTCGTGATATAAAGCGTCGTTGTATATTCAATTTAATCTATTACTATGAGAAGGTTAAATTGATAAACATACAAATTTTAAAACAAACTATTTACGTATAGACAATATTGATTGTTTTATTGCCAAATTCCGGTTAATAATAATCATTTTATGTTACCATAACACAATCAATCGTCAATCTACGGACCCGACGGTGAAGTTAACTTGAACAAATTCAAGCCAATAGTAACAATAACAATGTCACAGATTGCCGCGGAGAAAGAGTGGTTGGAAAAGAGTATCGCAAGTGAATGCATTCTATTTTATCCTTACGATAGATTAATCGATAAAGACTGCATCGGCCACGGTGCGTTTAGTATGGTTTTCAAAGCAACAGCGGCAAGAACGGGTACCGTCGTTGCATACAGGATGATCGAAAATTGGAACAAGGACGAGTCTTTCAAAAGTTCTGTGAACGAGGTGTGTAATAATATATGACTGAACTTCCGATAGAATCTACGAATGGTGTTTTTATACTTTCCGTTTCATAACATATATTCTAGCTCGAGATCCACCGTAACGTAGACGACGACCATCACAATATAACCCGATTCCTTATTGTTAGCAAAGGTAAACAGTTGAGCGATTTAATATATTAGATAACGAAGCATGTATACGATTACTTTTTAATTTTTTCATAGATATTAGAGGAAGGTACTTGATGGTCCTCGACTATAGTTCCTTGAGAGACTACTTATCGACACCAGCTATCAAACTGCCTGCCGAATTGGGTTTAGATATCATCAATGGATTGAGGCACATTCATAGAGCAAGAATATTGCATAAAGATTTAGTACGTGTATCTACTCATTAACATTAATATTTTATTTGACATGACTTGTATGCTGATTATAATTTCTTTCTTACCTTATACTTAGTACACGTCTTTAAACAATGAATTAATTTACGGCGGCAAAACAGCTAAAATCACGGATTTTGAGACTCTCGAAATAATGTTACAGCGAAAGGCTTGTTCAGATAACCGAGAAACTCATGCATACCTTGATCCTAAATGTTTTGGCTATGATAGTATAAGTAACCGGGATGAAACGTCAGATATTTTCGGTTGTGGGATTATTATGTGGGAAACATCCAGTAGAAAATATCCATGGAGTGAATTTAAATTCAACAGTATATTGAACATTCAGATGTATGGGCTGAATAGTAATAGTGGCCGTCACAATGTAGTTACAGACACACCAAAAGAATATACAAAATTGTCTATTACTATAGACTGCTGGAACAGTATTTCAGGCAAACACCCAACTAGTCAACGATGCCATGATAGATTAAGGAATACATCAAAAAAACTGAATAGGCTTAAAGAAATAATTGAAGATCACTCACTTTCTGATAAGCTGTCAACCTTATATCAGAAATTAAAGCTTAATGGGAAGTTAGAAGAACAAATTGCAGATGTTATCAAAAGTTCATTAATGCAAAATAGTGATGAACAAGGAAATGTAGTGGCTATATTTAAATCTCACACTGGTTGTGGACAATGCTACTGGCTGATTGGATTCTTCTATGAACATGGAATAGAAACTGACAGAAATCTTGAGCAAGCCATCCAATGGTACCAGAATGCAGCTGAACAAGAAAATGTTAAGGCACAATGTAGTCTTGGTTTTTGTTATAATGAGGGGAGAGGAGTAGAAAAGAACATTCAAAAGGCAATTGAGTTGTATCAGAAAGCTGCTGAACAAGGCTATGCCAGGGCACAAACTAATCTTGGTATTTGTTATCAGAATGGGACAGAAGTAGAGAAGAACATTCAAAAGGCAGTCAAATTGTATCAGAAAGCTGCTGAACAAGGTTATGCTGCAGCACAAACTAATCTTGGTGTTTGTTATCAGAATGGAACAGGAGTAGAAAAAGACATTCAAAAGGCAGTTGAGTTGCATCAGAAAGCTGCTGAACAAGGTGATGATGTAGCACAAACTAATCTTGGCTGGTGTTATGAGAGTGGAACAGGAGTG